GATAACTCCCCCACTCCCTCCAATCAGTTGGCTGGATAATTATTACTGAATCACCCCAGACTAATGCCAAGTTCCAGGCCTGTAAGAATGATCAGGTCTTGTGGATTGTCAAGAGGTAATGGAATCGTATTCCTTCACTTGCTAAGAAGATGGGTAGTCCATGCCAGTCTTAGAAGCTAACAAGACTTATTGCTTACAAAGTCTATTGACAACACAGAGACAATCCAGTCCCTTGTCAAAGAACTCATTCAGAGCTCTTTCCACAGTTTGCCCTAGGACACTCACACAAAAAGCCCAATCACTGTCCTGAGATTTTACCTCAGGGTGCCATTCATGCTAACACCGGACACAAACATAGAACTCTTACCTATATGTTGGCTGGCTTGGTGATGGTGGGAAATCACGCAGGAGAGAGCTTCCTCCTCTGAGCATCATGCCAGATTATATACCTCTAGTTCAAGCTTTCTACCCCTTGTTGGTCATTGGCCTGGGTCATTCAGAAGATGGGCTCTTCTACCCCTTTGGATATTCCTCAGGAGTGGTCTTCTCCCAGAATATCTCCCTGACATCTACCATAAGATTCCTCAAAGGGATGCAGATATATGCACTGATATAACAAAAGGGACAGACATGCATCTCATTGAAGACCATATTAAAAATAAATATTTGTTTGTACATTTGTGTGGGATGAGCTGATTCTTTAGTAGCTTTTTAAAGAGAAATGGAAATGGCAGCTCAGATTCCAAGTACCACAGTTAAGCAAGCCCTATAGTTCTTGTAGTCTTGGTTCTTTTTCTTTAGATGTTGACATTTGTGAAGGATTTTCAGTTAAAATGGCAGAACATGGGTTTTTTTAACACTTACATATTTTGACCTGAATACCTAACATTTTGATCTATGGATAGTATGTATTTCTTACTTACATTCCACCCTTTCTCCAAGGAGTTCAAGGCAATATCATATGGCTTTATTTTCACAGCAACCCTGTGAGGTAGGTCAGAATGAGACCTGGTGAGAGGCCTAAATTCACACTGTGATCTTCACGGCTCAGCAGGGATTTGAACACGGATATTTCCTGTCTAAGTCCAGCATTGTACCATAGTAGGTTCTGTTGACATTGCTCCATTGATTTCAGTGTAGCTTCAGATTACTCCTGAAGAACATCTGATTAGAGAAGAAGGTAACAAAAAAAAATTGGGGGACTGGGTATGAGGTGTGTGCCCCTTGATTCACTGTCTGTTAATTTCCCCATAGGATCCTAGTGGTAAAAGGCTTTTGGATCATAACGTCCAACACTTGCTTGAAGCAGGTGCTTTCTTAAAACAATCCATATTGAAATACTTTGCACCTTTGTTTGTAATAAGGAGGGACAGGTATAGATGTACAACTGGCAGTGATTCTAAGAAGATAATCAGTCCTCTTTTTTAACTGGGGGCAGTTCAATCCTAAAAATGTTTCTCTGGGAATAAAACTTGAATAAAGTTGTGCTTACTTCTGAGTAGACCTGCTAAGGATTGCTTCCTTAGTTCACTTAAACTATTTCTGCTAATTGAGTTTCTGAAGACCTAGCCCCCTCAAGTATTCTAGTTCTCTTGCATTTAGAGATTTCATCTTTGTATATTGCTATAAAAATTGTGCTTTTGTTGTGTAGTATTCCTTATTATATAAGGTCAAAGAAGACGGGGACAGCAAAGGATGAGATGGTTAGTGTCATAGATGCAACGAACATGTAATTGAGCAAACTTCAGAGGACGGCGGAAGACAGGAAGGCTTGGCATGTTCTGGTCCATGGGGTTGCGAAGAGTCGGACTCGACTGTGCGACTGAACAACAACAAATTCCTTATTACTAGCTGCCTAACAGGGAAATTCACGCATAAGAAATATGTGATGGTACCAGGTGTCAAAGCTCTATATCAACCCAGAGAGTTCTATGTACATGTGAAATTTGTGTTGGTCAGCTTCTGCTTTCAAGGGATTCTGTTTAACTCAGCTCAGTGACCCCTGCCATTACCTCACTGCTGTTAAGGGTACCCTGCATAACTACAGTATTGGTGTCCCACCAGCTCTTTGATGGTTGAATGTTAACCTAATCTGTGAGACAGCATGTATTTCAAAAGAGGGCTGCTTTTTACACGTCAGTTTGAAGAGGAAAGAAGCTCAAAACATCAGTCATTTCCTGTGTTCGCAAGTGATTGAGTCAGTGGAGAAAACCACTCACAGGAAATCTGGGTCTAAACTGTCCTCTTATGATGACCTGGAATAGCAGACTGAACTTTGGACCATTTGACAGAGACATAAAGGAAGGTGTTAAAAATGCACTCAGTATAGCACCTGTCCAGAAATGTGAGGCTCCTGGGACGGAGGAGGAGGAAGATGAAGTAGCCAAGTTTTTCTCCATCTTATTTGAGGCAGGCTGGCTAAAAACCAATAATTTAAAAAAATAATAAAATTAGTTAGATTTTTTCATTTTTATTAAATTTCAGTTAAATGCTTCATTTTAAAATACAACCTGGTTTAATATGTTCAGCATTTATAGTCTCTTAAAACTGAATTATGACTATATATCAAACATTTGTGTGATGGACTGCACTTTTTAAATAGGCTTAAAAGTGCTGTACCAACAACTAAAGGACTGTGAAGAGTTAATTCTTCTCAGAGCCTCAGCGCCTTGAGTGGCAGGATGCTCCAGGCAATCTGTTTGGTTGGCATCAGCTGAGAGGAAAAAAAAAAGGCTTGGGAGAGCTGGATACTGAGGAAAAGTCAGTCAGATTCTTGCCTTTACTGTGAAGAGACATGTACTGAGACTGTCTACAAATAGCCCTGTCAAAAAAGGGTTTAGTGCTGACAGAGTCATATTTCTGCCTTGACTGAATGCCGTCTCAATTCAGCATTAGCTGAGAGCCTTTAACACAGACAGGAGTACTGGGGGGGGGGATTTTGGCAAGGAAGTGGGTAGTAGAGAAGACACCCATTCAGGTCAAAGGAAAGAGGAATAGACCTTCTAGAGAGAGAGAAGAAAATTCCCTACTCAGTCAAACAGGTAGATCACAGAGATCCCTGGTCTGGTGTAATTAGGAACTGCCTGTAGAGTAGGGCTGCCAAGCCGCGGCAGGGGATCCGCACGTCTTCACAGGATCCCTGCCGTGGGGGGACAGCGATACGCATTGCGCCGGCGTCGCCAGGATGTGACACTATGTGTCGCTCTGACATCAGAGTTTGGAAGCTAAGTAGGGTTGGTCCTGGTTAGTACTTGGATGGGAAACCACCAGAGAAATTCAGGCTTGCTGTGCAATGGCAAACCACTGCTGTTTGTCTCTAGCCTTGAAAACCCCAGAGGGTCACCATAAGCTGGTTGTGACTTGACAATGCTTTACACACACAAGTTCCTAGACCAGACTGGAACATTTTTAACCCATATGTGATTGATTACAACAAAGAGATACTATGGTGCCTGTGATCCTCCACAGTAACAGACTGTATTGGATTTGATTTTGGTTCAGTGGACCACTGGTCTGTTCCAGCAAACCTCTTCTTATGTTCAGTAATTTCAGCCCCTGATTTCTTGCTCTTTGGACTTTTATTTTCATTTTTTCTCCTGTTTCATGAACTGCCACAACTTCATCCTGTGTTTTGTTCTGGGCAGAGGTGTGAGTGTGTGCAGACTTTAATAGGATATGCGATTTAGGATGTTAGTATAGGTAGCAGGGCCACATTATGACTTTCATGGGCCCTTAGGCACTTTTGCCTTTGTAGGCCCCTCCCACCATAATAATATCAATTTTAAAAATATTTTTGATATAATTTTAAATGTCTCAACATTTTTTTCCTGTTTGAGGCAAAATTTAATAGATTTTTGTGGGCCTTAACTTTTTTTTCTGATGTGAGAAAAAAGATCGATATTTTCTTTGACTCTAAAAGTTCATTTCTTTCCTTCTAATGTTAAAAGAAATTAAACATTTTTGTGGGCCCCTAAAAGTATTGTGGGCCCTAGGCACTGTGCCTACTGTACCTAATGGATAAGTTCGCCCGAGTGGGTAGGCCTGAGAATCTGTCCTTGATTTTGTGCAAAATTGCAAGATGCTTTTTCCCCTGACCATTTCACTGATTCAGAGTTTTACCCTAGGAAGATTCAATTCACACACTGAAAAACCAGATCCATTGTTCCTTGTTAAACTTTAGTGTGCTGATGAATAAATGGCTTCATGCTCAGAACATTTGCAGGACAAATAGAACTGGGTTTGCCACTATACAGGTTGAGAAAGTGTAATTATACACTTGTAGTACTTTGCTTCAAACCTTTAGAGGCTGCAAGTGGTTTAATAAAGCCATATGTGGCTCATGCAATTGTGCCCCTCTTATCTACTCATACACTGTTATCCCCGAAATTTTCAGGTCTAGATTTCTTATCTTTCTACAAAGACTCTGGCAAGAATATTAGAATCTGCAATTCATTTTGAATTAGGTAGAATTTGAGCTGTTTGACATATGCTAGTGTTTTTTTTATACATGTGTGTTTCTTGTTTTCATTCATTTCAAGGATGATGAGATTAATCTTTAATAAAGTTATACTGTATGAGTCTTGGCTGGGATACAAGGCTTTCACCAGGCACCTGGAATAAATAAATAAGCTTTTGTTCTCCCTGGTCAGAAGACTGGGCTTGTTAAAGAGCAATGATCGTTGTACATACTGCACTGTGGAATAGTGGGACATTGCCTCAAACAGCCAAAGAGACTTTTAGTTTCCAAGTGGCTGTTTTGAAGCATACCCCCCCCCCACGCTGCCATGAGTTAAGTACTACTCCAATAGCACCTAAGGCTCTGCAGTGTGTTCAGTTCTCAAACCATGAATATTCATAGATCTACTAACCAGGTCCAGCTCTGAGTTGTGAGGGACCCACTGTGAGATGGCATCAAGTGGAGGCTTCTCACTCACCTCTTTCTTTCCTGCCTTCCACAGAGAAGGCAGGTAGCAAACCCATTGGACTTAGAGTAGTGGGCAATGTTTCAGCTGTATCCTGTATCCCAGTGCTTTGTTCTAACCAGAGCTTCTTGCGTCATCAGAACTATCAATGCACAAAAATCAGAGTTCAATGAAGACCAAGCAACATGCTGTCAAATTTCCATCAGGAAGAAGAACTATGACAAAGAAGAGGATCAGGAATGGCTGATTCTGTGCTCTACTGAGGTAAGTTTGGACCTGGTCTCTCAGTCTGTTGACAACAGGGAATAATTGGAGGCAGGGCTCTGTCAGTGACCGAGCTTATTTTGAATGCCAAATATCTGTGTTTTGAATCCATAGCTGAGTGCTTTCAAACATGTGCAGAATCTGTGTCCCTGACAGGGACAAGTAAACATCAGGGATTCTGGCTTAGAAGCCTTAGAGGGTGGAGGCAGGGTACATCTCTCTTTGCAGACAAGATTGTTCCTGCAGTAGGGTATGTGAGGTAGGGGTGTGTGTGTGTAGGGGAGAGGATAGTACAACTTTCATTTGAGGTTTCCATTTGCAGGTGATGAGAGGCAAACCTAGTTCCAACACTCTCACAAGAAGGAGCAGTTTTTCCCCTCGAACAACAAGAGGCAGAGCGAGAGTTGCTCTCTAAAGTGCAGCTTTACTTAGCTACTGACAGCAGCTATCTATGCATGTTTCCTTGGGAGTATGGCACTACAATGTTATGTTAATACTCCTTGCTAGGAATACTGAGCTCTGAACTCTTCTTAATTGGCTTTCATAAACTCATTCACCTTCCAAGTATGACACAAACTCTTTTTTACCACTGTTGGCATTTTTTTTCCCCAATGGGGCTGTTCATTTCTGCATGGTACTCATGTAGGGTCAGTACAAGCTAACCACACACATACGGTGCTTCTTCCTACTATTATTGTTGTGTAACTCCACACATCAATGGTTTAGTTTATTCTAGTAGCATATGCTGACTCTCCCATGAAATGCATTTATATCTGCTTAGTGAATCATTTTAGATAGCTGTAAGTAAAACAAGAAGGTTCAGAATAAACTTTTAAGTCTGGGGAGGTTTGTATGTCAGGCGGTAAGCAGCTGATGCCTTTGTGGATCCAATGCAAGTTCCACATTCACATTCTAAGATTTTATTTTGGTCTCTTTGGCAACTTGCGTTAATGGAAAGAATGCCTGCCCTTGTTCTATGAAGGAACTGCTGTCAAAAGGTTGTAACAAGAATCTCCTTGTTTTTTCTATATGACTGCACAATGTAGAATGGCAAAACCCAGTGTAGTGTAGTGGTTGAAGAGCAGCAGACTCTAATCTGGAGGATGGGGTTTAATTCCCCACTCCTCCACATGAAGCCAGCTGGGTGACCTTGAGTCAGTCTCAGCCCCACCTACCTCGCAGGGTGTCTGTTGTGGGGAGAGGAAGGGAAGGTGATTGTAAGCTGCTCTGAGACTCTGAGTGAAATCCAATTACTTCTTCATCTTCGTCTTCTTCCCTCCAAGGACTGCCTGAATCAGATTTCAGCTTGAACCTCATTTGAACTTTTTGCAGAGGAAGATGTAGACTGCATATATTGTGGGTGTAGAGTTGCCTTTCCCCAGTTCTCCCTTTGCTTTGATGTAACATTCAAATTAAAAATAAATAAATTGAGCTGCGATGGCTCAAGTGGTTAAGACGCTGAACTACAGGCTGTGGAAGGTCAGTAGTTCAGCAGTTTGAGACCCGGGTCTGCCGCATAACAGAGGGAGCTCCCGTCTCTAGTTCCAGCTCCTGCCAACCTAGCAGTTCGAAAGCAAGAGATTGCAAGTAGATAAATAGGTACCACTTCGGTGGGAAGGTAATAGCATTCCGTGCGCCTTGGTGTTTAGTCACGTTGACTACATGACCACGGAAACGTCTTCGGACAGCGCTGGCTCTTCGGCTTTGAAATAGAGATGAGCACCACAACCCTAGAGTCGGATTCGACTGGCTTTCGAGCAAGGGAACCTTTACCTTTACCTTTTAACATTTAAATGCAGCATTTGCTTTGTGTGTTGTCCTTGAAAATTGGTCACGGGGGAAAGCTGTGTCAAGGTGTATGCATGTTCTG